ATTGCAAGGGAAAGAAGCCACGGAACGAGTATTAAGTATTGCACATTTTTGCAACCAGCTCAACCTGTAGAGCAAGTCAGAGTCTAGGAGTTATCACTCTAACAAGTTGTGGTGGTTTAGTACACAAGGTGCACACAGAATGAAGATCTGTACTGAGGATTGGCAGAATTTAAACAAATAAAAGGGGCTTTTTTTAACTGGAAATTATGCCGGCACATTTGGTAATCCCTTCCTAAGACTCCACCTGTTTTCTTGATGCTGAAAAAAAGTTTATTGACATTGATTCCAATCGAATCCAAATCAAACCCTTGGACATTTTATCCAACAGCTAATAAGACGCAGGAAAATACAGATATCTGAATCAGATCATCACATAACCGGGGTTTCTCATTAAAGAAAACACAATATTTTCCATCTTTCACATCACAAACAAGAGAGACAAACACGCTGTAAAGAGATAGCCGACGCCGGCTGCTGTCGGCTGGGAAGGCAACATTGCAATCTAGAGCAAATAGGAAAACAAATTGTGGTCCAGCTCTGCCATCTCCCAGAGACAAGATATACTCTTGTCTCTGATTTAAGTTTTTTTCCCTATGCGATGCTCAATGTCACCTCAAAGTCTGTGTGAACGTACATTTTGTATGAAATTGAGAGAGAGAGAGATCACTTTGATAAACAGCATTCTCTCTTTTGTGTTTGGGGTCTAAACTAGGGATGTTCCTAGGAAACAAAACAATCTTAGAAAACAGCTACAATTCAGCACAATTTAAATAAGCCAATCACAGCCTCTGCAGATGAATGATGTCAAATTGGTATGCTGACTGTGACATAAGCAGTGCTAGCACCGCCAGCCTTTGGTCGTCCCGCTTTATGCCCACTTGCCTGCGCTAACGATGGTATCTCGTTGCTCAGGTTGAGTGATTGTGCTAGTTTAAAGGTGCGTTCCATTTTATCATCAATTTTATCAATTTGCCGGTCTCATACGTCACCAGGAAGTTGGAATTCCAACTTGGACACTCAGAGAACCTTCAGTAGCACGAGTTAAAATCCAACATGGCTGCTGAGTGCATCAACAGTAATGTTTAAGCTGAAACTTTTGTGTTTATTAGCAACGTAGTCCTCTTTGTGTGTAATTAAATCAATCACAGCGATAGTATTGTGCAGGTTCTATCTGTGGACATGCTATCATTTTATTTTTGCGCACAAACTATCACTTTATGTGTTGTTATCACCTGGTATAAGCGGAAAAAAACAAAGGTACTCCGGGATTGCTTGTTCAACTTTTTTCCACCTGTAAAACTGGAACACAGCAAACTCAGGTGGGTTATTACCGGCTCCAAGATCCGTTCCATTTATCTTTGGATAAATGGAACGCACCATAACTTGACACAGGCTATAATCAACTTAATCTACATTTTTGTAGATCCAAATACTGCCAAACTGTGCTTTTTCTGCAAGATGCTACCCGTTCACTGTGTTGGTTTACATCAGAGTAGTAGAGTGAAGAGAGAAGGCCCAATCACCAAGACAACAGCCAGTTTACGGCTACAGTGTTGAGAGGTGGCTGCTTTACAGCCGAGACACAATAGTTGACCAGTGTTGATGACAAACATATGAAAATGTTAACAAGTTGTTTAACTGGCTAGTAATAATGATGCAAACTAGTAAGGGTGACAAAGCTTTTGAACTTTTTGTCGGCTAGTAGTGCACATGCTTTGTCTGAACATGCAAATACAGCTAAGGAATGTTATTGTCCAAAAAGAACGTAAAGCACTTAAAGATTAATAAAAGCCACTTTTATCATCCGCTTAGAAAAACAAGGTAAAACGCAGGTAACAGCAGCAGTGATTGAACCTGTCAGGCTCTCAATTCTCTATATTTGGATTTCAAAGCCATTCATTGAGTCAAGTCTGTTTTATGCCATGTAATTTAATACTCAGAAAAGCTGGATGAGAGAGAAAAATAGCAACTGATTTGACAGCTCAATTTGTCTACAGTGATGCCGAAATGCTGATGGAAAGTGTTTCTGAATTCAAAATGCTGCGGATTAGGCGAGACAGAGCTGAAATGGAACAGTGAACAGCGCGGCTGTTATCCAGCGCGCTCTGTGTCAGGCTGAGTGTTCACAAGAATGAGATGTAAATGCATAAGAGGACAGGGTTTTTCTTTTTTTCATCCTGCTGCTGGGAAGAAATCCTGAAGAGATCTTTGTCCTTAAGCAGCACAGGAGACTCTCCTTATGTTTGAACTGACATAACAATCAGAGAAATATTTCAATAGTGCCTCCTTCCCTTACAGATCAGTCACACCCGTCAAACCAGACATCCCAGCCCTAACTACCGTATTTTCCGCACTATAAGGCGCACCTTCAATGAATGGCCTATTTTAGAACTGTTTTCATATATAGGGCGCACCGGATTATAAGGCGCATAGAATAGAACGTGTTTACAACTGAACAAGGCTGGGAGATATTGTGAATATATCAATATAAATACGTATAAAACGTAGTGCATTCACAATAACTCAACGTTGTTCAAACGTTAATGTGCATATTCATAATATCTCCCAGCCTAGTTCAGTTGTAAACACGTAAAAGAAACACAGTCTGATACCGTTAATTCAAACGTTAGTGCATAACTCAACATTGTTCAGTTACGTATAACACGTAAAGCTCACTTTTTCAGTTCATTCCCCGTCCACGAATCCCTCGAATTCTTCTTCTTCAGTGTCCGAATTGAACAGTTGGGCGAGTACGGCATCCAACATGCCCGGCTCCCTCTCGTCATTATCCGAGTCAGTGTCGCTGAGCGCCGTGTACAACCAGTATGGATCAACCAATTAACCAATTGATCCATATATAAGGCGCTCCGGATTATAAGGCGCACTGTCGTTTTTTGAGAAAATTAAAGGCTTTTAAGTGCGCCTTATAGTGCGGAAAATACGGTATGTCCTAGATTGGACTGCAATTCATTCATTAAACACATTTTACATGCACTTCTGTTAAGCATCAAAATACTCCACATCGATAGAAAAAAATTGAATAAAAGGATACACAAGCAGCCAAAGAGATCTGCATTGACCTCTACACACACACACACACACACACACACACACACACACACACACACACAAAACAGAGCCAACCAACTGTGCTGGTGATCCACAAGAGCTCCATTTTTAAAGTCTGCACACGATTAGGCCATTAAATCCACAAGGTAATATTTCAGCTAGAACTCCCTTTCTCTCTGATGGCTCCATGGCACGGGGGTGCCATGGAGCGATCATGGCATGCTTAACATTCACAACAGAATCCCTTAACAGTCCTTTGAAGATAAAAGACTGCATTAGACATTTGGGATTACAGCGAGCGCCCACACTGTTCAAATAGCTGACTAATAGAGTGCACAGTATTGGTTTGTCCTTTCAGCAACAGGGAGGCTCCATTGATGACTCCCCTCATTGATGCATAATGAGTCTGTATTGAAAAGGTGGCCCTGTGTGTAAACACAGATCAGCAACGACAGAGGCTATGATTGTGAAAAGGTTTGGTTGTTACGTTTCCTCACAGCAGATGATTGCTTCAAAATTGCTTTTTGTTTGTCACAGTTTGTATTCTTTGTGGGGCTTTGGAAAAACACCAGGGTGTACTAGCATCATGGCTTTTTTTCATATAGAATTAGTTTGAATGAAAAATGTTGTCAAAAGAATAATCAAATCAAATAATCAAAAGACGCCAAAATTAGATGTCTTTGATGAAGAAGCCCAATCTGCTGCAAGCTGTAGAATTCTATCTATATATCAAACTATAGATGATCAATTTTCCTTTAAAGTAAATGGACAGAAAACGATCACACACATCTGTGATTTTAAAACTACGTATCCCTTAAAAAAAGAAGTAAACAAAAATGTGAATGGGGGTTTTAACTGTGCCTGATTTTAGATGGCTACAGCACCCTCAGCACCACTACCTCCAAATGGTAACACCTACAGTGTGTGTTAGTAAAAATGTTTAAAATGTGGAAGCAGGAAATGCAAACCAATAAAGAGCTTCTCCTTTACCTTGTGTACCGATTTGAGCAAAGATAGTCTATGAAAACAGTTGACAATATCTCCTGGTGATCCACATCTGATAGTGCAAATGTTTTTTAACACTGTAAGAAGGTGTGTTCTTCTATACACCAACCAGGAGTGGTGCTCTTAATCTCCTTGAATCCTGTTATACAATGACAATAAATTTCAATTATTCAATTTGGAAGCTGTTGTTGAGTCTGAGAATCAACCCTGGTGATGTTATGAGTGAATGGATTGATTGTTGTCTTTTCCCAAACGAGCCAGACCCCCATTAGGTTTATTTTCTCAACAATAACATATTCTTTGTATGGATGATTTCAGACATAATAAGGGAGAACTGCTGTTCAAACATTTACGACCAACCCCAGATTGCATGGTTAAGTATCACAGTATGCTTTGAGCAGAAAAATCGTACAGTTGCATTACACAATGAATGGGGCACATTTTCTTGTTTTTAAATTGCGAGACAAAAGAATAATGCACCTATAAGACACATGAATCTAGAAACGCTTACGTGACATTCAATTAAGCAGTGAGTGCAGTACGTTGTTCTTCTTTTCTCTAATCCCTCAATTAAACAAATTTTATATGCAAGGAGATGAGCCAGCCGGCTGGCCGGGCGATGTAAACAAAGTGTAGCCACGTCTCGGAAAGCATCACAGACAGTGGGACTCGGGTGTCACACTCATTGTAGACAGTCATGACTCACAGAGTTATTTTCAGAGAATATACTTGATTTCTGCTATATTTAAGTGTGAAATATTGCATATTCTGCCTTTAAGTGCAATAACTACTCTTATTTTTTCTAATATTCTCTGTCATTCTTTTATTGCTCAGGGTGAGATCATCAAGAACTTCATCCTATCTGGTCAGGAGCTCTCTCATCTTCATCCTCCTCGTTCCCCTCCTCCACCTCTTCGGCAGCAGTCATGAACTGGTCTGCTCTGCAGTCGCTCATCAGTGGGGTCAACAAGTACTCCACTGTGTTCGGCCGGGTCTGGCTCTCCATGGTCTTTGTCTTCCGGGTGATGGTGTTTGTGGTGGCAGCGCAGCGAGTGTGGGGTGATGAGAGCAAGGACTTCGTCTGTAACACGGCCCAGCTGGGTGCGTCAACGTGTGCTACGACCACATCTTCCCAATCTCCCACATCCGCCTGTGGTCCCTGCAGCTCATCTTCGTCACCTGTCCGTCGCTGTTGGTGGTGGGACACGTCAAGTATAGGAGAAGAAGGACCTGCAGTACACGCAGTCGCACATGGGCGCCCATCTGTATGCCCACCCTGGGAAGAAACGTGGAGGGCTGTGGTGGACATATCTGGTAAGCAAAGAGGGAAGGAATGTTTACTTTAGCCCTTAATATACATGTCATACAAAGACATGGTTTATAAGAAGTGGACCTGCATCTTTTCTGTGACCAGCAGGGCAACTCAACTTGTTGAAAATGTCCAATCGTATGAAATCAGATGGATAATAACCATCTTAACACTTGATGTATTAACAAAATAAACATCTCCTTATTAGGTTTATGGTCTTAATAAGAGAAAGTATTTTCACACATGCTTAAAACTCCTGAAAGTTTCCTATAAATTTAAGGTGAACTGCATGGAAACCACGCAGTAAAAGCTTTTAACTATCTTTATCCTGACTTT